GGCAGCGGCCGGGGCGGAGGCGGCGCCGCGGGTTTGGAGGCGAGTGAGGATGGGAGTGTTTATTACTCAACTCGGAGTATGAACTCGTCCCACCAGACGGAGTTCTGCCTTTACCTTTATGCATGGAGATTGGAATGATTCCTTCATTCATTCATTATTTTTTTTTTCCAAGGAGCGATAATTATAAATTCCGAAACTAGCTAATAGCACATATTAATTAATTAATTAATTAATTGATTCATTGATTAACTCGTTAATTAACTAAAGCTCTGTGCATGTCACATGCCTTCTTCGTATATATTTATATATATTTATCTCCCTCTCTCTCTAGATCACGTGCGTGTGACATATTTATATAAAAAATTGTTGGCTTTTGAGTTAGGCTTATATAGTTTAGACATACATATATATATAGATTTGTTTAAATCACGAGTTTGCAAATTTTTATAGATTATATAAATTCATAATTATGAAACTCGCATATTTTTAATTAAATGAATAATTGAATAGGATACGTAAAATTGGTTTTTATAAGTTTTTTTTTTTGCTGGTAAAAATATATTAGGTCCAATTTTTTTTTGGCTATATTTTGTTTTAGTTTTTTTAACTATATAATAAAAAAATCATTATGATAATTACCATTAATTTTTTTATAAACTATTTAATAAAAACTTGAAGACATTTCATTTATTTGAGAGGAAATATTTGTAGGTAGGAGAGAATGTTTGAATTGATTGGTGTGTTTTGATTACAATAAGTATTTAGGTAAAAATGGTTTAATAATAAATCACTTTCATGTTTAGTTTTCACCTCTAAAAAATATATTTTACAAATTTTTGGTCTAAGTACTTAGGCAACAATTGATTGAGTTGATGCAAAACAAGGTGAAATATAGGACTTATTTGATAACATTCTTTTATGTATCTAATATTTGTAGAACTAGAAACATGAATACGTTTGGTAACCATTTATATTTATTGTTTTTAGAAAGAAATAAAAACAAAATTATGTTTGCTAATTCTTTCTATTTATTTCTTTTATTCTTAGTATTTTTTAGTACAACTTGTGATGACGGTGATTTGTTGATTGGGGATATATACCTAAACAAATATTGAGATTTTTTTTTAATTTTTAGTTAAAATATAATTGAGTAGATATAATATAAAAAGATATATCTTATACTTGAAAAATATAATTTATTAAAAAAAAATATGATTTACAATATATATTACCTTAATGTAGATTTTAATTTAAAAATAAAATATTTTATAAAAAAAATAGAAAATATAAAGTAAAAAAATAATATAAAAAAAAATATTGAATCCTGCTACTAATGAGATTCAAACCAAACAAATTGAGGTTATATGCACGCGTTCATCCAACTTTATTACACAATGTATCACTTAACTTTAGATCCACAAATAGAGACACCACCAAACTATTTTGTAGTTTCCAAAATTTAACTCTTTTTTTTTAAAACGTTTTTTTAGAAACGAGAAACGAGATGGATTATCAAACATATTTATTTCTAAAAAAATAGGAACAGGAACAAAAAACAGAAAACGATAATATTATCAAACAGGTTTATTGGAGAATATGTGCGTTGATAATATACTGATGAATGAATTTGAAATGATTTTTGCAAAAAGTATTTTCAAGAGAAAATACTTCTATGAGTAGTTATTTGAAGTATTTAGAAACGACCCAATTCAATATTGATTTGGTATCAAAAAAATTTTGCTTTTAAGATTTCTATTTTAAAAGAATCATGCTTCATCCCTTACCATTCTTTGTTATAATTTTTTATTTTCTAACGCATTTGAACTTTTAATCATATTAAAAAACAATATTTATTCATCAATATAAGTATCTCCAACCAATAAGTTGTGGAGATAAGGGTGTGAGTTCGACCCCACCCGAGTTTTCAAATTTGACTTGAAGCATTTGGGAATGTGATTGTTTCTTTTTCTTTTTTCTTTTTTAACCTTTTTAATAAAGAAAAACAAAACTTAGTTGGTAGCTGTTATGTTTTCTTTATTAAAAAAATAGAAACTAGAAATAGGATCGGTTATCAAGTACTTATACTTCAAAATCTAGAAACTAGAAAGAGAAATAGTAAACAAAAGATTAAAAGTTAGGTCTCTACCTTATATATACTCCATCCACAATCCTTTGCCATAGTTGCTAAGGAAACAAATTCTCATCTCTACAATGAACAAAAAGAAAAATCCAAAAACTAAAGGCAAAGATGATACACAAAGTAAGAATAAATTCACAACAATCTTGAAAAGAAGAGAGATAGAGGCCTAGATTACAAGATTCCTAAACCATCGACAAAGAGAGGAATAAAATAAAATAAAATAAAATAACTAAGCAAAAATCACAATTTACAAAATGATCGTAATTAACATTAAATTAATTATATTTGAAACACTTATTAGCTTCCTAAATATAAATTCAACACCATCAAAATTCCAGCAACCAACCTCAGGCACACATGGCTTCCATTGTTCTTCAACTTTGAAGTTGCTGAGTTCACTGAACTGAGTCCCATTTTCCACCAAAAAACACTAATTAATAACCACCCTTCAACATTATTATTTTAAACAAATTTTAATTTTTATTATGTCAACTGAAAATACCTGGATGCTGAATAGTCACATTTTCCATAACCTGTATCAATTAAGAAAATGTAATTAGAGATGTGCGATTTAGCAGTTAAAAGTGACATTTTAGTGTCTTAAAATTTTAACTTGATTTCAATTTAGACGCGACAAAAATGAGTTAATAAGACGACAAGACAAAGTACAAATGTTGTTTTGAGATATGTAACAAAACTACAAGGACTACGATGAAAATTTTAAAAGTACAGGGATTAAATTGAAACTAAATTCGAAACCAAGGATTGCAAGACAATGAAGAGAGAGGGAGGGAGATTTTACTTGGATTTTTTTTGGTTAAAGTAGCAGAGCCACCAAAATTGCAAGCAATATCAGAGTTGCCATTCTGCTGATAGAAGCTATTGAATGCATAAGATGCATGGGACAAGAGTGTGTCTGGTTGATAACAAGCCCCTCCCTTCTGAATGGCTCTACAATCTGCCTTTCCCAATCCACACGCCCAGTCCAACGCGTTCTGCAGATCGATCTGAGACGCCCCGGCCCGAGCCACGCACCACGACGTTCCATCAAGGAACGTCGCGTTCCCTTCTGGTGGCGACAATGTCGTCGCTGGCATTGCTGCCTCCGCCTTCTCCTCCACCGCCATGCCTTCCCCTGTCACCCAAGCCCATTAATAATGTAACAACACAAGAAGGAAGTATAGAGACTTTGAAACAATGTATTTTGAATCTATATCAAATGGTTACGAGAGATGTATTTTAAAACTGCACTCAACAAGGTGTCGGTGAGGTTCCGTTTGGTGACTTTCTAATTTTATTAAGAAATTTAAGCATTTGACACCTATTTATGTTTTTTTTTTTCTCTCAACGAGAAACATTTTCAAAATTTCAAATTTGTTTCAAAACGTAAATAAAATATTGTTTTATAATTCTTGAATACACCAAGGATGGAGCATGCAATTCTATTTTTCTTTGGATAAACTAAAACTTTACCAAACACATCGCAAGAGTAAGGCCCTTTTTTTCTTTCATGATCTTTTGTTTTCCATTTGGTTCCAGAGAGAAATATGAACAAGGGAAAACAGAGGACCAGCATAGATTAATGAAAAACATGTTTCATTTTCCTGGCTTGTGACAACGTTTGAAGCAGAACAGACATAAAAGCAGAGTCTTCAGCAAGAAAAAAACATACCCAGAAAGCAACATTGAAGCAGAAACATGGCCTCCAAAACCAAAAGCAAAACCCAGATTTTTGTTCTCATTCTGACGCCTCTGTTGACAGTTTCTCTTCCAAACTCAAAAAGGCTTCGGCTGTTTTTGAGGGTTTGAAGTTGAATGGGGAAAAGAAAGAGGAAATAGGGGTTATAAATGCAAATGCAGGGCTCTGCTGTTGTGAAGAAGAATCATTAGTTTCTTCAAATGAAATTATCTTCTTTTTCCCTCTTTTTTTTTTTTTTTTTTGTTTTTTGGCTTTTGATTATTTATATTTTTGTTGTATAGGACTTAGGAGTGGGATGGGATTTAACATTTATGCAGAGTGTACGTTTGTTGCAGAAGCTAAGCAGCTACTTTTTGACAGAACTACAGCGGTGGATTCCATAGTCCATACGCCTTTCCATGGAGCTTTTTTCTGAAGCTGGTTTTCCTTTCATTTTGCTGCTTGCACTTCAACCTCCAAATAAATAGAAATGACCAAACTTTTATTTTATTTAGTTTTTTCAGAAAATATCCATTTTAATATCACCTCATCAAGTCTATTTGGAATGTGTTTGGAAATAAGGGTAGAACGATTGATTTTGAAAAAGAAAATGCTTGTTTATCTTCTAAAATTGATTTATTGATTTTCAAAATCACCAACCAACTGATAAATTTAAAGTGATTTTAAGGTGGGTTGGGAAGTAATGGTAGAATTAGTGATTTTAAAAAAATAAATTGAGGTATAATTGATTTTTTAAAATTAGATTTAAGTATAATTAATTTTTCAAAATCACCGACCTTAAAAATCAATTTAGAGTGATTTTAAGTTTTTTTAAAATCAGTTTTTTTGATTTGCAAAACATGATCCATAGAAAGAGAAATAATTTTGATAATGACAAAAATGATTTTAATCCTGACAAAATTGCTCCCAAACACATCATAAATTAAAAGTCTTTTTATTTGAAATTTTGTTAAAAAGAAGTATAAAATTTATAGGAATCAAACAAAAAACGAGGGCAGAATTGAATTTTTTAGTTGAAATTGGTAAGTTTTGAGAGAGTTAATTATTTAAAGGATTGATTTTGTATCTTAATTAAATTTAATTTTGTGGAGAGCTTCACTTTTTTCTTAATAATTAATGAGTTTTCGAAGTTTTTTTATCTGATTTTTCTGCTATAACGAGAGGATTAATCAGCAGGAAAAAAAAAAAACTGATTTGCGGAAACGACGCATACTCCGAAAGTTACTGAAGCCTGAAATTTTCGTCCTTCCACAAAAACTACCGTCATTATTGAGTTTTCAATTTTTCCTTTTTATTTTTCAAAATATACAAAAATAGTTTCTAACTCTTTAAGATTATTCTCAATTTCATCCTTCATTTGGTAAGATTTTAATTTTATATTAAAATTTCTCAATAAAAAAATGTTAACAAAAAGTTAGTACTAATGGGAGAAATTATTTACCGCAAGGGTAGCTCAATCTTATTTAGGGAATCAAATATGAATGAAAGAATAGAATTAAAACATGTATATGCATTAACAAAGAGAAAATTTAAATTTAGATGTTTTTTTTTTTTAAATTGAGAATGTAAAGTAAGCAAAGAAAAGTCTAACATAAAAATATAAGAAATTGTGACATTTTTTAAAACAAATAGTAATTTTATACCGTTGAGTGAAATTTTCCCTTCCCTTTTTTCTAGCATATCATGCCAAGTTGAAACAATAATTTAATAAGACGTAAGTATTTTGTCGGTTGAGAATTGTCAATGCATTAGAGGTAATTTTGGGAATTTTAGAAAGATTAATGACCAGATTAGGAATTACCTAAAAAAGAGACATTTAATATATTTCGCGATTTTTTTTCATCTAAATATTTTTGGAAAAAAAGAGGGAAAAGAGGCTACCAATTGAGATTTACAAATACGTGGAAGGGCCTTCGTGTCCTAATGGACCTCGTTTACAAGGCCACCAACTATACATTGCAGCCCACCAAATGTTCTATCTTAATGGGCTGTCCGTTGGGCTTAAATTTGAAATTCATCTTAATAGGCTGTACTTTGGGCTTAATTTTGAGATTTTGGGCCTTTGATTTTCAGGCCCATCTATGATCCACTTTGCTTCCTGAGTTGTTTTGGTTTAGTGTACTATATATCAAATTGATAACTAATCCCGACTCAAGCTTAACTCCACTGATTAAGGTATCTATCTTCGACAAAAAGTCGTGAATTCAAATCCTCACTCACACATATTGAAATATTAAATCGGTGATTGAGTATTTAATTATTAGTAAAAAATCACTAAAGTAAATCAATGATTTGTCTGATCAGATTTAATATATTTAATTTAGACATACTTTATTTTTTTTTCGATGTTTTATACATTATTTTAAAGAATACAATCTCTTGGGCGAAAAATGATCCCATTAATGTGTAAAATTAGATACACTAATGATCTAAGATAAATGGTAAAAATGGCAGAATTTTATTAAGATGTGTCCTCTTAATAAATCAACCATGGAACTACTGAATTTATAAGAATGGGTGAGAACAATATTTTTTTTGTTGCCTCTTATTAAATCAATGATTGATAATAGGCATATTAGTCTGATAATAACTTTTTTGTTCTCTCTTAGGAAATCAACTCTCAAGAAAAGGAGGGTATAAAATGAATGAAAGTAGGTTTAAATAGGGTTAAAATACTAGTTTAATTTATATATTTTCAACTTTGGTTCTTGTAATTTTCAAAATGTCTATTAACCATTGGTTAATGTACTCTAAATTATTATCTACTTTAGTTCTTATACATTCGAGACAGTCGTTTTAATCCTTGTATTTCTAAAAGATGATAATTTTAGTCCATTCATATAAATATATATTTTTTAAATATCATTTTTTCCTATCACAATTTCAACATAACATTATACTCAATGTATTTTTTTGAAAAGTAACCCTAACTTTATGTTAAGAGATTTCCATTGTGTATAGAACTTATGCTAAAATTTTGCAAGCAGGTATCAAAATGATAACTTTTTAAGAGTATCGAATGTCATATTTTAAAATTAAATGTCAATCATCGATCGAGTAGACAAATATCGAGTAAAATATGTAATATTTTTAGAATTCAATGAAGAAAAGGGGCCACTATTACAAATTTTTCTCTTTGTTCATAAAATTTGGGGGCCAAAGCCAAAATGGGCCCATCCAATTTTCTTTCATACCGTAAAGGGATGATAAAAGGTTTCACCAACTCATATTATAAATATGCCTAAAACGAATTAAATAAATATGTAATAAATTTTCCAAACAGAA